TCGATCTTCACAAGGTAAGCTGTACAACTTCGACTGAGGACATTCGGTGCCCTCCCCCACCAAGCCAAATAGCGCCAAATGTTGAATGTTTTTTGGAGAATATCGAATCAGATAATGCAGCTCACCAAATCTCCTTGACAATTCGCACTCAAAATGGCTGATTTCATTTCCTTCGAAGCCACGAACGGCTCATCGCGAGCTACCGAACTTGAACTTGAACTGGCGAGTGCGCTTTGGGCTTCTGATGTGCTCTTCTTCGGCTTCACAAATCGGTCGCCATTATCCTCGCTTACTGAGGACTTCAACACCTAAAATCCATAACATAGCAAAGACTGCACCATAGATGGGCAATAAAGCAAACTGCCAAACCCTGTGCGGCAACGCAGACGGTAGGCGCTTTGGCGACAGCGGTCGGGATGGCTTTTCCTTTTTTCTCCAGATTGACGTTGTTTGTCTGCAAATATAGCAGAGTAACCTATGCGGCAACCGATGAAAAGAAACCGCGGGCACGTTAGCGGAGGCGTGCGATTGCTGCCAACATCATTGGTGGAAGGGCGGAGTAGAGTGTGGCTAAACGATTTCTCGCAATCCTCCCATCAATGACAGTGACGCCAACCGCCCGCCCTCCGCTATCGTGTCTATCACCTTTGAGGCAGCATGGAACAATATTTAGAATTGAACGAGATCAGATAACATCCCAAATGTTAAGGGCACGCTTACTGACGACAGAGGAAGGGCAGTGGGCCTCAGATATGGACAACAGGGTGAGAACTAACTCGTCAGCTGTAGAAGCGTCCGAAATGCCCTGGACGGACCCCTCATGCTCGGGAATTATGCGAGCATAGGCGGACAGAGGGCGTGCTTGAACGAGTTTTCGCTTGTTGATCTTACAACGGTGTCAGCGCGAAAGGAGACGAGCGATGCTATCCTGGGATAGTCACGACATGCCGCTCACGTTGCGCGCGGCGAAGGACGCGGCAGTCCCAGAGTTCTATTACCGTATGTATGGGTTGTTACTGGAGCAAAAGATTTGCGTTCTCCACAGCGTCTTCGACCAATTCTGTTAGCGATCCGTCCGTTCCTGATCTCGTCAACAATTTGAACCAGCTATGAGGCAACACAACTCGTACGCAACGGCTGCGACGTCACCAGCCCGCCCACCAGCGCGGCGATCTAGCAAAGTCCTCATGACTGAATCGCCACACACACCAGCTCGTTACCCTTATCACATGACGTTACTGGCTCTTTTCGTTCTATACTCTCGCCACATGGAATGGAAAGAACCAGCAAAAAATGACCGCATCCTCGGATTAGCGCTAACAAAAGGACATTGGGCGCAGCATCAGGCGGTGGGCGGAGCATCAGCACCGCCGCAAGCGCTCAGCGTCCTTGTCAGGCATTTTTAGGCCGCAAAAGCAGTACGTGTCTTTGAGCCTCAGATGATGATCCACTTTAATACATATCTATTCGAGAAATAAAGGAACTCACTAGGCCGCTAGATGAGCCAAGCTTCGGAGGAGGAATCAAATTCGATGTGGGTAGGGAAGGAACGCGGAAAACCACTTGCTGATACTCTTTATTCGAACCTGAAATTGTTGTCTTGTAAGCAATCACTGTTAAAACAGTGGTGTAAGAGATAGCCCACCGTCACCGGAAGAACCATGCGTGACACGCTCCTGTGGCAGGACTCTGAAACTACCAAACTATCAACTAATCCTTCAATGCCTTCATAATGAGATGCTGAATCATTACAGCTTATACGGTAAGGAATAACTATAAAAACCTGATAATAACCGAGAAAAAACCTTTTGGTGGGCGTTTGCTTCGAAACTACTGCTGCAGTTTTCGATGGAGAATGCTTAGTAACAAGAGGACGTGCATCTGAATGCGTCTGCGGAGGCGGTGACGCACATATATCGGTTGGGAGGTTTACTGGTAATGATTCGTCAGAAGGAGGAATCGATACAGGCGTAACCACTACTGTCTCGCCCACGACGGCAGATCCACGACTCTCCTGCAAATGTTCTTAGCCTGTATTAAATGAACAGCAGCACTCTAAACGAAATATGGCAGCACGCCCGTGGAAAAACAATCATAATTTTCAAATTTCATCCCAGTGCTGAACTCTATCAGTGTTAAAATCGAAACCAAACGACCGCAACAATCACACTTACCCAAAGGCACATTCCGCGAATATTTGAAAGTGCAGGTCCTCACGTGAAGCGGAAAAGAGATTCCAGCTCCAAAAGCTAGGCTCTAATCAGTGGGTGGGGCCGTTGGGGGCAGGGTCAACTGTGATATCACAAAAGTCCATTCAACCAAATATACGCGCAATATAAGGAAATTATGGAACTGATGTAACTAGAATTCATAAACTATAATGTGTACAATGTAAATTTAAATGCGAGCGGCAAAAAGGGGCATGGCTAGCGGCCCATGCCGACGTGTTGCTCGCGTACCTGTGACGCCAGGATTCGCGATTTCTGGCCGCTCGTTTGCCTAACCTCTCTCGCCCTCACGCACTGTCTCTTCTCATGCATGCTCACCTAATGCTCGAAATTAAAGGCGATTTATTGGCAGTATTTCCGAATTCCCCCCCCTCCCTTTAGAGAACCCCACCGCCTAGACTTGCAACCCAGAATGTGCTTTCAAAAACGCACTGAAATTACCGTAGGCCGGACACTAATGAAGCAGCACAGTAACAAAATTACCTTCGACTCGCCGGGGGTGCGTGGAAAGATTATCGGTGAACATCCAACAGAAACCGTCCTAACACGGTCTAATACATTCTCTGAAAATTGCGAGATTGTACTGTATTAGTATACTTTCCAAATCAGGTTCAATGCAGAGGATAAGCAATTAATAAAGTACACCTACCTCCGAGGATCATTTTCCTTGCCATGTGGGAGTAAAGCAGGTCCGCTCATCAAATCCCTGGTCGACTCCCGCCCAGGATAAACGAGACTTCTGCCCTCAGGGATGGTAAATTGGGTTCATGTTCGTCTGGGAGGATAAAACTGACACGCGGGGGCCAGCCGATGTACAAATCACTGTTTTATCCTCCCAGACGAATATGGTACCACTCACCGTCTCCGGAGGGTAGAAGGCTTGGTTGGCCTGAACGGGAGTCGATACCACCCTCACGCAAATCACGCAGCTCATGACACCCTTCACAACCAGCTGTAAGTCTAGCTGATCCCATCGCGCCACTTGTCTGCGCCCTCCTATCTTTGGTTGCTCTCTGCACTTGACCGCGATACGCAGCGATTCGTGTTGTTCGCTGCGGGACCATGGCATCGACGCACATGCTGCACGTTGCGAACATGAGGTCGAACCCAAACAGCATTAACCTTTCACCACGCTCCAACCTCGTTTCAGCGCTCTCTCGAATGACAAAGATGGCGTACTTTCACAGCTGAGACTCGCTCACCTTCCACATGGCGAAGGACCACGTCGCAGGCAGGCATACAGCTTATCTCTAACAAAGCTGCCTCACCTTTCCTCTCTACAGGCTCCTTAGAAGAGCTGGAATCAAACAAAGAATCCTGAAGAATTGAAGACAATTCTCGTCGCTGTTGCCTTTTTGCCCTTCTCAAACGTGATTCATGGCCTTTCTGAACCAGATACGAACTGCACAGCTGCAGAAAACGAGACAGCTAAAAGGTTATGAAACGGACCTGAGTGAGTATATCGACCGAAGAGTCTGCCAAGTTTAGGCTGTCCTCTGTGTATGCCCCTTCGATGTCGTCGCAAGAGTTAGTGGTGCTTACAGATCCAGTTCGATGGCGATTCTATAGAAAAAAATGAAAGCACTGTGATCACACGGTTGTATCGGAAGAACTAAGTAAAAGGGTACTTTCCTAGAAGAATTCAGAGGCCAGGTGGAAGGATGCAGAGGCCAGGTGAACTCATATGCAGGAAAGCACAATTTTCAAAGACAGCACCGACTGGCCAACGTGAAGCCCTCCCTGCACAATAGGATGCGGTCCGCAATCGTGTAGGATGTCCCACTTTCGCAACTTGAATTGCATCACAAAAGCGCTAGGGCTCTGCAATACTTCATGTGCCCCGCCCAACCACTTCTGTCGTTTGGGGAGTAAAAGAAAGGAGTTGGAGACCCCATTTCTAAACGGCCTCAGATACGCGCACTCTGAGTACCTCAAATCGTTTTGAAGGCAATAAAAAGAAACAGAAAGTCAAGTTTTCGAAAGAGCAAACCTCTTTCTCCTGTTCATGAACATTCACTACAGTTGCGCGCCTCTTCGGCTGTTGTAATCCCGAGTGCCGCGTATTTGGCTGATTCCGCCTGAAAAGGACAAGGATAAAGGCTTGAGTTTTCGCCAACGATCAATCCTTTTTCTGGAATGCAGCACACATTCTACATTCAGAATCGTAGTGGCTTGATGAATGCGATGTTCCCTATACAATGAGTTGTGGGGCAACCGATGGAAAATTCAGCGTGCTTATCCTCCCAGACAAATCTGGTACCAGTTAAGTGTCCCCGCAAAGAAGAAGGCTTAGTTGGTTTGGGCGAAAGCCGGTCCGCGATCAGCCCACCCACCGCGCTCCTGGTAAGCGTGCCACTTGCAACTACCCATCTCGGTCGCAGAAACCAGAAAATTCTTCAATACGGACCCCTGCGGGCGACGAGTTTTCATGGAAACTTCTTTTGAATTGCATTTTCGTCGATAAAATTATTTCATGAGAAAATATCCACCTCAGTGCAGTCGATGTCTTAACTGGCGTAGTATGACGACGTCGTGACCTCTCATGTTGCTCACGATAAGAAGGATTGAAATGCTCTTCGCCAAGCATGGACACCGGATTATCCTTGAGCACCTAAACATATTACGAAAGATACTTTTTGGGAAATAAGGCTTTGCTAGTTCAAAAACTAGTTGTAAAGAGACCTTGTTGATTCTCCTCGGAGGTGTTTCGCCGCGCTTCTTTCCGGAATCCCGCCTATGGACCACTACCTCAGTGTGCCGATGGGAAGATCTGCCAATTGACTGGGAGCCACCGGTTCTCGATATCCTACCCTGAATTGCAGAAACAATTGAGAAAGGATGAAAAAGGAAATAAATGGAGATTTCTGCGTTTCTGGGTACGTACCCTACATTACTTTTATGTAATCCTTACGAAGCGACTATAGCACAGGTAGGGTACGGTATCGTGATAGGGAGAAATGACGGGGTCACTACGACCCCCCCCCCTCCCTGAAAAATTTCGTCGTCTGTACGACACCCTTCTCTATCCAACCCATTATCTTCCTAAGTTTTTCAGACTTCCTACCACGTTTTCCCCACTTTTCCGAAGATGCTCCACTTTTTCTCCAAAAATGGCGTCGAGCAGTGGTGACGAAAAGGTTGTCATCAATCAATTAGTGATTTCAGCTATCATAAATAGGCAGTTATATGGAAGTTCTGCGACGCCAGGAACTGGTTGGGAGGGGGAGAGAAGATGGCGAACATGAAATAGGAAATCCGACAAAGTCACATCTCAACCATTTTTCTTGCGGCTCGAAAAGATTTTATATAAAATAACGGATTTCAACCACCAGGAACA